CTGGATTTACTGGAATTGATTTCCGATGAGTGAATAAACAAACTATTACGACTGAAAACGTCGTTATTGTTACAAGATTTATACGAAACGAGCTTCAGTGTATAAACCATATAGGTAGTGGAAGCAAAAAGGAAAAGCCATACCATAAACTTCAAAAAAGCTCGATTATGTGAACCAGAAATTGAAATTTGTGACCCAGAAACACTTCTCATCTGATCCCAGATGATTTTTTCTGAATCTTTTACTTTCTGGGTCACTTTCATCGTCATTAAAACCCAACCCCTCAACAACAAAAAAAACCCAGAAGCTTCACAACAATGTTTCAAGAACCCATTTGGGTAACAGTTTTTCAGCCTAAATTTTGGATTTTTCACAGAATTTTGAGGAGATGAGTGATGGATCTGATGAAAATGAGAAAAGGGTGTGTGAAAATGTAAAGGAATTGTGAGAATCAATGAAGAGATAAGGCTATAAAAAAAATGTAAGGGGTTTCAGAGAGATGAAGAGAAGGGGACAACATGCATTGGGGAATTGCTGATTTCAAGAAGAAGAAGAAGAAAAACTGCAACTCTTGTGATTTCTCTCAGCAACAGCTAAGAGGGAGAGAAGGAAAAAGAGAGTTCTTTTAAGCTAAAGTTGTCATCTTTTTAGTAGTAATTCTTTTTGTTCTTAAGTTAAAAACATAAGATTAGCAACAAACCATAATGCAACGGAGCTCGTTGGTTAGAGTTACGTATGTATAAATAAATAATAAAAAGTGTATTAAAAAAATATACTCTAATTTTTTATCTTAATATTCTTCTTTTTTAAATTATATTTTTGATAAATTACAAATGTTTCATACTATGTCTAACGAGTAATGACTTTTCTTTAATATTTTTTAGATTTTTCCAGCAATGAAAAGTGTATAAAAGAAATACTCTAATTCTCGATCTTAATATCCTTTTAATTAGAATTATGTCCTTGATAAATTACAAATATTTCATACTATGTCTAACGAGTAATGACTTTTCTTTAATATTTTTTTTGATTTTTCCCGACCTCTCTCACAATCCGCTATATTCAAATTCTCACATCTTCTCACCGAAACATAATATTTTATTAAATATTTATTTTATTTACGTGTTATTATCTCATAATTGAACTTTTGTAATTTTTAAAAAATAACTACTATTGTGAAAAAAATAGAAAAAAATTAATTTAATTTTAATTTTTTAAACGAAGAGGGTAAATATTATATTTAAATTGAACCATATGAAAAGTTCTAATAATAGCAATTTCGCTGTACATTCAATTTTGAATTGTTTAGGTAGGGACTACTATACTAAATTAAATAAATTCTCTAGATTTTATCTTTGTTATTATGCATGTAATTAATTTAATCTCAACTGTTTTGCTATTCGTGTCAATAATTTTGCTTTCATCATTTTTTTTCTTGTGAGTAGATCTCCATTCATTTTAAGAAAACGTTGGATCTTCTAAAAAAAGAAAACCATTTTGTCATATCATATTATAAACTCTTTTAACACGATTTTTCATTCAAATAAATATAAGTTCTTGTCCCTTTTCAATACTAACTAATCATGATTAGTGTATTTGGTAGTCCACCTAGAACATAACTAAACTATATTAAACCACTTTTTTTTTTATAAATTAAACCCAACACTTTCAATTAATATTATGTGATATTTTCTTACATGTTTAAGATATTGTGAAAATTATTCGACTTTTTTTTAATATATTAATATAAAAAAGATAGCACATACTATTTTTCGTACTATATTTTCTTTAGTTATATTCACGACCACTATTTTCCGCAAAATATATAAAAATAAATAATGAAACAATATAATTATACTACTCTTTTATCGGGTCGGGTCAGGTTGGGTTGGTAGTTCCAACCCACTTCTTGTTAATTTTCACGTTCGGTATTCAGCTTGAAACTCGATTCAATTTGAATTCGTGGATGGTAGAGTTTAATACTATAGAAAATACTCTCGATAGGATTATTCTTTTTTTTATTTCCAAGTGATTCAAACTCAAACTTTTTAAATTAAGGACGGATTGATCTCAATCATCTCATCATAGTTCGTATTGTGTCGGTGTGCTTTGCTTTGGGGACACGTGTGAAGTCTAAATAATTAAATTGAGAGAAAAACACGTGGCGGTGTTGTGTAGTGGCTACTTGGGTCGGTGGGATTTGATCCCATGTGAACCCACTTAAATCTATGTACCTGCGACCTGCCAAATGTCGGGGAATTTTATTTATTTTATTAAATAATATTTTTGTGGAAAATATGTTACTCCATTTCCAACTTAAATATTCCTTTTTAAAAAAATTACCAAGTAAAAAGTGGTTATATTTTTGGGAAAATAGAGAAAAAAATCAAATAAGTTATTTTTATGTCTCGACGAATCTAGAATTTCTAAAATATGAATACATCAATAAAAAAATATATGTAATGGAAATTAATCTCTGGTCCTTAAAATAAATAACTTAATCTTCAACCAAGTGCATCATTTAATCTTATTGTAGCATAGGTGACAACAGATGTTAGATAATATTATACAAAAATATTTAATTTTACGAAGAGATAACAACTTCATATATTTTAATTATTTTTGCATATAAATTCGTCCATGATCTCTCTAGGGTAGTTGTAGCTTAACAACAAAGAAATACTACATAGATAGTGTAATTCCAAATACTTTTTAATTTTATTTAGAATTTATAATATTGAAGTTATAAAATTATAATTGTGTTGGATTTTTTTTTTGACGGATCTAGGTGTATGAAGGTTTTGCCGTGCAAAACAAAGGGATGACATAATTAATTTAGAGACCTTTGGGTTTGATAAATTAAATAAAATAAATAAATACTTCTACTCTTTAAGTCTTTAATTAATATGCCAACTATAACGCCCCATAGTTACTACTCCTTCATTAATTTTAATTTTCCTCCACTTAACTAACAAGTCATAGCCATACATTTACTCGTTAATTGTAATTGTATCTTTTTTTCCTGGACTAAATTTTCATATCCATGTTCCTTATACGTTATACATATATACGATTAATAGTCTAATAATAATGTATTTCAATCATCGTAATTCTTTTATAGTAAAAATTCAACTGATCATCCTTCATCATATATAGTTATGTTGTTGGTTAATATTAGAGGTAGAGTATATATAAAGGGTGAAAAAAAGATTCATTTGAATCTCTTTCGCCAAAAGTATGTCTATTTTTGTCTTCGTCATTGGTCTGTTGTGCGTGTATATATATCCAACATTATATTATATATATATATATATATACCACTATTGTAATATCTTTTTTTTTTTACTAATTTTAGTATTTGTAATATAAGGAAAAGTAATTAAAGAAAATATTAGCTCAGCAGATGAGTCGGTTCCGTACGACTTATATATATCTAAAAAAAAATTTAATAACAACACACATTTATGTTGACAGTACATTCAAAAAATAATAATAATAAGTATAATTTGGTCACCATATAAAAAGAAAAAAGAAAGGAAAGTTTCATATTTTTTTCCTCTTTAAGTAGAAAATTATAATAATGAATGGAAATAAACAAGATAGGGACATTGGAAAGTGTATTTCTTTTAACACTATTCTCAACTTTTTGTTGTTGTTGGTTGCTTTTTTAGTGAATAGGTTAATAAAATTTTAAATTGTCATTATTTTTAGGAGTTTCAAATTTAAATTAATAAATATTTAGGGTATTCTTTGAATTATCATGACTCATATTAGATTTTTTTTTTTTTGAGAAATATGACATGTTATGTGAACGTCACCCTTCAAAATATTTTGATATAATGGTAATGATAAATTGTTAATTTAAATAGTTCCAAAATTCAACACCTATAACGTAACTTGTTTATTTAAAATTAATGTACATATAATAAAAGAATGTGATACACTTTAACGGTAATAGTTCAAAGATAAATTCTTTGAATCATTTGCTAAAAAAAGATAAAAGTAATTACAACTTAACATAAACAACAATATCTTTCAATTACTATTTGGGTAAAAGATTTGTGCAATAGAAACCATTATATATCAAGGATAATTATCATATTTATGTCGAATATTTATTTAAAGAGGACATGATAATTACACTCAACAAGGTAATTTAGGAAGGGATTAACCAACTAATCTTGTCTATTTTCCTTCTCCCCCCACCCCCACCTCCCCGCTCCCCTTATTTATCACAATAAATATCAACACTCTTTGAATTTGCATCGCATAAGGACTATAATAATTGTATTTTATGAGATTCTTTTTTTTTTATATTCAATGCATCAATTCGAGATCTCTAATTTAAGCGGGAGGATTTAATAGGTATTGATAATGAAAAATGGGATCATAAAACCAAAAAAATGTTTGAAAGATTTGTTCAGAGTGACTTCAAATTGTTCAAATTTGGGTTTTTGGGCCATGCAGAGATGAGTTCTTAATTGCAAAAATAATCTTGCCAGGCAACTTTGAGCCCAAACTCTTTTGGATCAAAGCAATATAGCTTCTTGCCCATTTTTCTTCAAATTGTGTCACATATATGATTTGTCGGTAAATTTCACTTAGACACTTGAACTATTATTTATTTTAATTGAACATCTGATAAAGTGTTTCTGCTAGGCACTTTTAACAAATTTTTAAAAAAGTATTTCATGCACAATCTCAAATGTTCATTACCCGACTAGTTAATCACTTAAAATATATTATCTCCTTTTATCATACACATCATCTTTAATTGAAACATGCCTAAGGTTATATAACTTATTTAGACTAATTCGTATAATGAAAGAAGGTGACATACTTTACATGATTAACTTATATACGTCATGAGCAATCAAAAATACGCATAGATATCATATGTTCAATAAAGAGAAACAATAATTGAAGTGTCTAAATAAATTGTTTACGAAATGCGTTACTTGCATTGAAATTTTAATTTGACCCGTTTGCACTTGACCTTTGCAACTCAAAACCCCAGTCCGGGTTTTTTTTTTTCTTTTGGGGTTTTAGGGTCACTACAAAAATCTCTATTGAACTTCTTCTTCAATTGCTTCGTTGTGTTCAAATTTTCCTCCATTTTTTATCTTCTATGTCCGTTTAGTGCCCTAATCTTGTTCTACAAGTCCATCAAAACCTCACTATCCAAGATGCAGCATGTCAGGAGAACCGGGTTTTCATTGAAGACGAGGTGGTTGTTGTATTCGAATGTTGTAAAATCATGCAACAAGTTGGATTCTTTCTTGGAATATGTGCCATCAAGAAGCTTATCTGATGTGGGTATCGGTCGTTTCTCGTCAATGGCTGCTGAAAGTGCTGTTTTCAATGTTTCTGCTAAAAGGGTATGTGAAGTTCTGTTAAAAAATTCACATTGTTGTGATTGATTTTTCGTGTTCTTGTTGCTTCTAGAATGGGTATGTATGAATTATTGGGGCTTTGAATACATTTTAGTACTTGTTAGATGTTGCATTTTGAACTTTCTCTATGTTGTGATTGATGATTTTGATCAAATGTTAAGGGTTACTTCGTCTCAACTGTTGCATTTATAGTGATGAGAATGATTTATCAAAAAGAAGAAGAAGCTGGTGACTTTGTCTTATATGCGTAGGGGTTGTTTGGTACAGTGTATAAGAATAGTACTGGATAGGATGTATTAGAAATGTTGGTAGATTCTCTAATACATCGCACCAATGATCCCTTAGTGGTAATGTAGCACCTTTATGTTAGACTGGTGGAGGTAAGCTTAGTAGTTGTAGAAGATAAGCTGCAGTGTATGCAAAAGTGATCCAAGAAGCTTATCTGCTACTGCACCATAGTTTCTTTTTTCTTTTTTGATGAGAACGGTAGAAATTTTATTGATGAGTACCAGAAGGTACTGAAAGCTACTGCACCATAGTTTCAGTTTGACTCGTGTAATGAACGTAAATATTTGTAAGTTCTCTCTACACATTTTCTTTTCTTACACTTAGCTGTTGTGTCAGCCTAACCTTATGACTTTTGTCCTAAGTGGTTGAGTTGTATGGCAATTGAAGTACGGCTCCTCAAATTATATCTAAGTTGGAACTTCATATCAAGCATCAATGTTTGAGTATTCCAATAATTTAGCAAGAAAATCCATAAACATACCAATTCTAGTCCCTATTTTTTAATAACCGAGAAGTTGCTCATGGGTTAGGTCCCCGAACTCCATTGGCACACAGATCTAGAACTTGGGGGAGTATGGGGCCATCCCCTTCTCCCACTTAAATTCTAGGCTTTTTAGCAGATCTTGAACGCATGACGTGTGCCTATCCTCATATCCTATGTTTGGTTCTTCTTCTGTTCTTTCTCTGATTATGATGTACTTGTAGGAACTGGTAAAATCAGGTTGTGCAAGGAGATCAGTATATTCTTCTTATCCTGCTGCGAAGGTGAGTTGAAATGTCTTGCTACTTTGATGAACCTAAAGTTTGTTGGCTGCCTATTGATAACTTTTGCCCCCCAAAATTCTGATGTTTTGCAGGTTATTGATGAACCTGCTGGTTAGTAGATGCTACATTCATGATTGAAGAATTGCAAACTGTAAAAGAACAATTTGGATGTCTGCAAGTGTTAGATCTCCAAAGAATATTTATTTAGAATTAATTCATTTCTCTTCATAAAGTGGATATTGAGTCTGCTTTAACATTCATCCATCCAGTGGTTTTAGTTCTTCACGTGTGTCCATTCAAAAGGATCCTTGAAGCAATTTTGCAGTACTCAGAAAATATATGTTTTTTCATATCTTGAGAACTTTAAGATGACGATTTCAAACATGTCGCTATAGAGAACGGTTTTTGTTTTCCTTAAGAAAAAGGAGGTGCCTTTCTTGATTCTACATGTTGTGGACTTGCTATCTACTTATGTGGGAGTAAAAGGACAAAGGTTTAATTGAATGTTCTGCATCAATGTTGCATGGGTCATAATGTTACATTTATGTCTTGCAGTTGTGGGGTTCTTGCGAGAAATGATCAATACTTTAGCGTACAGATGTTAATTTCATGTTGAGACTTCTGTTTTATTATCATGGGCTCATCATGGCTGTCCCTGACGGTTGTGGCACTCATGTCCGAAAGGATCAATACTTTAAATTATGTATTTATGCTTTCAGCAGGATCATTTCCTGTTGAGATCTTTAGAAAACTACATGTGCATTCATGCAATTGCTTCCAATTGTAAGATTTTGTGTCTCACCATGTAGTTCCTGTGTCCAATCCATTTCACAATCTTGTGTCCATGTGACATCAATTTTAATATTTCTGTAGGAACGTGTTCTATGTTAAGAAAAATACTCAGACGTAGATCTTGCAGGAATTCCTGTTCTTTACAGAAATAGAAGGAGCACACAATGCTTAATGACCTTCAGATCACCGTTTCAGCTTGTCAATACCGCTGGCGTAAATCCTCAATCGTCTTGCTTTGCTAGATCATTTGCATCAAAGGCTTCTGGATCGAGGCAAAAGCAATCAGAGGTTATCTCTATCTCTAAATCATGCGTATATGTCTTTCCTTTTTCTTTTAGATTGTGAGAGGAGAACTTAGTTGAAGGGCAAACAATAGTAAAATGTTCCAAGGACCACACTTAACTAATTCCCCAGCAAATCATGTATTAAGTATCACCACTATATTAATAATACAGTAGGTATACAGTTTCAAAAAAATAAACATACAGTAGGTATTTGAATGACCAAAATTTAGGTCCAAATTACTCATAGAAAGATAATCTTGAGTTAGTAACATTTTGTTTTACCTTCCAATAGCAATATTTGTTATTAAATGCATCTCAACTTAAGAAACATGTGATTCCAATATCAAGGTATTTTACTATTTTAAGCTTGTCAATTCCAACTTGTGAAACAATTATTAATTTAGTTAAGTAGATTGACATATGAGTTGAAGAAGTCTACCCTCACTGAAATGTTTATAAGTTACTGGTGAACTCAAACTCATTCCCATTCCACAAATCAATGCTATCTAAGATAACATGTCTTTAAAAGGCAAAAATGGACTAACAAGAGGATATACTGTGCCGCTGCAGTCACTTACTTTGTTTCAGGTTTCCCAGTTCTACACTCCCTAAAAACCGTTACTCAGTGCACAAAAGAGCAAGAAGGAATATTTCCCTCCAGACCAAGTCAAATGATGTATATTGGTCCTGAAACGTTGTTATATTTCTTTACCATAAGCACTATTTAGTCTCAGAGGAGCTGCATGTTGTACCAGTTTACCTTCCCTTATCCTGTACCTGGTTCCTAGCAGCTCACTCAATGAGAAAGAGTCACTATAATTTCCCCCCAAAACTTAAAAAATCTCGTGTGATGCTCATTTAATGAGGAGAAAGTTACAATAGCTTTCCTCCGAAATTCTGATCTTCTCCACAGTTTATGCAAATTGAAGTAGGAGATGCTTATGAGTTCCACCATTTGCTCCAAACCCACGTCAAGCATTAGGACATGGAGCTTGTTGGTGTGTGTACCTGCAACAAGTCATTCCTATTATGTTTTTAAATTTTTATATACCGTAGAGTCGAAGACCATGTGTACTTTCTAGGGCAATACAACTTTCCAAATAAGTGAAGTTAAAGGGAAAAGAGTGAAGTTTTAGTGTGCACAAAGGAAAGGAGAAGAACCTTCTTGAACAGACACCTCCTGAGTTTTGAATCACATAGTGTTACTAGAGCTAATGAACTATATGATGATACATAACAAAGCTTTGTAATGCAACTGCTATTCTCTGTTAGTTTAGTGCCAAGTCTGTTAAGTTGCTATCAGGTCATTTGTCCTGCATGATGTCTAAACTGTATGATGTTTGCAGAAAGTAACACTGACAAATCATTGATTTTGTTGCTGTCAAAACTAAGTTTTTTCCACAGCATGGCTTGGTGGGCTTTTCTATTTCTTATTGTCTAAGATTTATGCCCTATTGAATACAATTTCCTGTCTGAAACCTATTTAATGTTGGTATCCTAGGATCACCTCATCAGATTTTCTCTCTTTTTAGAGCTGATCCGGTGACTGTTTGGTTGGATGGATTAGAGAAACAATCTCAACATAAAATTTATCCTATGTTTGATTTAAAGAGATTAAAAAATATTTTCTGCATAACTTATGCATTGTTTGGGTGGTCCTATATGAAAATAATGCATGTATAGTTTTGTGCAGTGTTTGGTTGATTGTGTTAAATGAAACCTGCATTAAGTAATGTGGGAATTTATACATTGTTTTATGTGTGACAGAATGTGAAATACAAATACGTGTAATGTTTATCAGGGGGGTTAAAGTATTTAAAGATTCTACATTAGGTAGAATTTTCAATTATGAGATTATTAATCCCGGGATTGTTTATACCATAATTGTGATATTAATTTATACGATACTCCATGTGGGATAATCCCGGGATTGAACTTCAAAATGACACATTTGCCCTTACCCAAAGCTTTTCTTCCAGAGATTTTTAAGTAAGCCAAGGTTAAAGTTGGAAATGAAAGTGTATCCAAATTATCTAGTTTAAACCAAACACATGTTTAATATTTTTTGAAACTAACACATGCTTAATAATGTACTATGTATATCCCATTTTTGTTCAATGAACTAAACATCTACCAATAAAATTATATCTACTAAATAGTCCTGTCATTATTTAGTTCCCAGAACGTGAGATAGGGGATAACAATCTCGGGATAAATACACGATCATTTTATCCCGCATTTAGTTGAGCTTTTGAATCTGGGATTAACAATCTCAGGATAAAACACCAAAATGACAAAGATGCTCTTCTCCAAAGCTCTTCTCTGAAAGTCCTTTACAAAAAAAAACAAGGTTAAAGTTGGAAATTAAAGATTTCCCAATTTATCTCATGTAAAACCAAACTCATGTTTATATTATACTCATACTCTGTTTTAAGTCCAATGAATCAACCATCTACCGTTAATAGTATATCCTCTAAACAATCCCATCATTATTTAATCCCCGTATTATACTCCTGGTCTAACTTGCTTACCAACCAAATGACCCCTTAATGTATTGATGTGGTATCCCAATACAACATTGTAAAGGTGTTTTTCGAAAACATGATTCCAGTAGAGTACAAGAGGAGAAGAAGCACGATACTGAACCTCATATCTTTATCGTATGCAGTTGCACTGTTTTGTTATATTATAGAAGAAAATTATCCCAGAATTGTGTATAACTTGGAGATTGCCCTTCTCGCATCAAAATGTATATCTCCCGATGTAACAATGAATGCATTTCTCAAATCAATGACTACGAATGTGCTTGTTTCTTGTCTGACTTGTACAGGCTCGAAAGGATGTTTCTACTGTTGAGGATCCTTTTGATGCTCCTACCTACAATATCCCAGAGAAGCCTGTGACGTTCACTGAGGGAGCTTCCTATAGTCTTATCATTCTTGCTGGACTTGCAGTTGCTGGCGCTGCAGCATATGGAGTTTTTAAGGAACTCATTTTTCAGCCAAAAGAGTAAGGGTTGCATTTATGCTCTACATAGTTTGACAGAGAACATAGAGTTCTTGTTTTCAATTTAGTTTAAAGTAATTTTGTGTTGTAGGTACAAAATTTTCAACAAAGGTCTCAAGAGGGTTCAAAATGATGGTCAAGTATGTTTTTTGCCCCTATTGTTCTTACCTTGAATTTACTGCATATAATTTTGAGAATGAGTTGTATACTGAATACTGTGAGTCTTCACATAAAGATCCTAATTTCTTATGTATTTTGATTCTTGTTGTACTTGAACTGATCTGTTGCATGTGTTTGCAATACTTCACTCCAGGTTAAGGCAAGAATTGGATCCCCTGTAACAGGCTATGGATCAGAAAGTAGAAATCGTGCTGCGCGCCAACGCATCCCTAATAGGATATGGACTGATGAAGATGGAGTTGAGCATGTTGAGGTGACTATTTTTTCTTGTGATCCCTATCTTTTGATACCCTCTTCTCCAATATATTTAGGTTCCCACGCATGTATAATTAAAAACTGAATGTAGGTCAATTTTTATATTCGCGGACCACATGGAGCTGGCAAGGTTTATACAGAGATGTTTCAAGACAAGGTGGATAAGCAGTGGAAGTTCACATATTTGATCGTTGAGATCAAATCACCTTCCCCAGCTCAACTGATGCTCGAGTCGTATGTACCTGCCTGAATATCAACGTAAGTACATTGTATGTTCTGTCCTGCTGCTATAATCGCGTGGATGCAGTCGATATCCTCTAAACTTTTTTTCCAACTCCCCTGAGAGCTCTCAAGATGACAGTTCTGATGATTTCAAGTTCTTTTAGTTGAGCCATTGGCTCTGATAACAGTTAGCATTGCTGAGAAAGTATTAGAAAGTTTACCTTTTATCGGTCATAAAAAAAAATTGCAAGAAAAACTGTTAAATTCTTTCAGATGTAAGACTTTCTTGCAGTTCAAATCCAAAGAATTTTTGGAATGACCAAGTTTCAATTTTCATATTTCTGCAATTTTCTCTATTTTTTAGCTATCGTGCTTGTGTCTAAAGATGGTTATTGCTGAGGCAGTCAATTAGCTTATTTTGTAGTAGTAGGAAAAAAAAAGAGAGGCAACTTAACCTAATGAATCTTTAGTTAGAATTTATTTTTTTTGGTACACAAAACTCAAACTCGAGACTTGTAGTTATGATGAAGTGATTATATCCATCCTACCACAACGCTCAGTGATTCAGAATCACTTATCAAGTTGCTGCTCCAACACTTCAGATTCAACTAACAGTAATTTCATTTCTCTGATGAATTACAGGGGATAGAAAAAAAAAAAACTAAGAAATTAAACAAAATACCATAATCAGGCATTTTCAAGATTTCTACGACTCTCACTAAATAAATGTCGTTGTATCTCTACTTTCTTGTCGTATCTCGACTTTCTTGTAGTGTAGAATGGTGATGTGAAGAAGCTTTTGACAACACTGAAATGATGGAATGGAAAGCATTTGCTGCAATTCTTGATTTTATTTGACCCCTTCTTGGCAAAGGCTTTGTGCCCCTAAAACCTTCAATTGCTGTTGTAGAAACTCTAGCAATTTTGTGATTCATCATTTGAATGTTCAATTGATTTAGTAGTGAGTGTAATTATGAAATTGTTTTATGAAAGTTCTCAATAAGGACAAAATTGTCAAATAAATTTGGTTTTGGTTTTGGTTTTGGTCTTGGTGTTGATTGAGTGTGTTGGTTTCTTTATATAGAAGTGTACATAAAGAGAGAGGGTTGTTTGGGAAAGGTTTATTGTCAAATGGTTAGGAAAGAGAGTTTTGTCTGGGAGAGGTTTTTATGACAAATGGTTTTGGAACGGCGGCGAATTCAGAATTTAAATTTCTCGACATCTAATATATTATACTCCCTTCATCTCTTTTTAGTTGTCATGTTATGCTTTTCGAGAGTTAAACGATATGAATTTTGACTAACATTTTAAAATGTATTTTTTAATCATATTGATATGAAAAAAGTTGCAATTTATAGTACTTTTCTGTATAACTTTTGAATATCTAAAATTTTATTTTAAAATATCAAAAATTAGTCCTCTCGAAAAGCACAACATAATAACTAGAGTACTTTAAAAATTATGGGTTCTACATATGTAAATCGATATTAGTCTGAAATTTAAAAGCTTCATCTATATTTCGTATTTAAAATATTGAATTCACTTTAATATGTATAATAATTTATCAAACGTTGAACAAATCTCATAAGCAAATTGAGAAACTCATATTTATAAATTTAAAATCTTGAATTTGCGGACTACAAAGTAGGGAAGTTGGGTGGCATGCCAGCAGGATTGTCTTTAGCTAAACAAGATTCTTTTCTCCCTAACTGGTGGCATCTAGAAATCGTCAAATTATTTATTTATTCATTCATTTTGACGTAATAACTTACTCCACCTTAATAATATCGTATAATGGTATAAGCCTATCTGACTGAGAACAAATTCGTGTATACGAAGCAGTTTATAATATACATTATGAGTTGTCTGGTTTTCATTTTGCTACGTTTTTTAACATAAAGTATGCGGCAGACAAATTTCAATACAAATCTATCGGTAAGATTTTGCTGGTTTTTATTTTCATAATATGAATTTAATTTGACAAGCTTATTCAATGTATATAAAATATAAAAACAATTCTTTATATATCCTTCATCCTATTTCAACTGTCGCTTTAGTTAGTTAACTATTGTTTTAGAAAAACATCTGATAAATAGGAGTAAGTTAATAAATTATACTTTCTATTTATTGTTTTTTTTATAATGAATATGAAAAGAGTTAAAACGACAGTTAAAATGAGACGGTACAGAGAAAATATAATATAGTGTGTGAATTGAAATTGAAACAACATAGTAATAACTTTATGCTGCGGTGCACATGGTCAATACGGTTGTTGCCTATTACCAACAAAAAATGGTAAAATACTCATTCACAGAAAAAGAAAAAAAAATAAACAGTTTCCTATGCCAATGGAAACTTATTATAGAATATTTTTATTTTATTTTAATTTTTTAAAAAAACTTTTTAAGAAAGCCGACAAAGGAGAAGTGTTATGAACTTTGAATGAAAATACAGATGAACCTCAACAACAATATTATTCTAAGGTGGCAAAATTACTCGTTGCATGCATCAATAATTCTCGATATAGTGTGAATGTCTCGATCACTAAGTGCCTGTTCTTTCGAGTAAATTAATATCGATATAGTGGTCAATGAATCACTGATCAAAGAACGAGAAATGTAATTATATTGCTAGACATTTATCCAATTTTCAACCAAATGAGATAACAAGTGGTAGTAAAAAACTTCTTTACATTAAATTAATGAAACACTAGCTTCCCAATGCACGTCACCAATAATTCAATTTTCATTCCCAAAATACAGTAACATGTGGTAAGCAATTCTTTATAAATTAAAAAAAAAAACCATATTTTATGGTTGTGAATCTCTTTATTATTGATTGTGATTGAAGTATATATTTGAATTATCTAGTTGATACATAAATATTTGAATTATCTAGTTGATCACACAAACCTACAAGTTCAAAAAACTACTATTACGCTTTAGTGGACAGAGTTATCTAATACTTGTCACGTGACGATTCTTTCTCAAGGCAAAAGTAGCACACTTCGAAAAAATTTATTTTAATGAACATAAAACCAGACGAAGAGTATAAATTACAACTTTTGTACTATTGTTTTCTTTATAGGATAGAATCATCATGCCTATGTGGTTTGTAGTAAAAGAAAACACAAAAAGCCTAACAAGCAAGCCCTGATGTATCAATCCTAATCTTGACCTCTATTAGCTAACAATCTACACTAATTGTGTATTTAAATAATGATTAGTTGCAACATTTTGTACACTTAATTAGCTAATTGGTTGACAAATGTGAATTGCGTGGATTTATTTAACTTCATATATAGTCAACTAATCCTTCAATTTTATTATACTACTTATTGCTCTTTTCTTCATTATGACTTCTTCAAAACTGTATGCCCTTTTCATACATGCTTTGAAATGCCGAGGGTCTATCAAAAGCAACCACGCCAACCTCACAAGGTGGGATAAGATCTGTGACACACTCTTTTCAGACTCCACTTGTGAAATTATACGAAATATGGTGGTGGTCTTGCATATATAGTCAACTAATGATTTTTTTTTTAAAAAAAAAAAAACACTAAAATCCACATAGGGAATAATTTTTGGTCAAGAAAAAATTAGCTGTCATTGCCTCCCTACTGCCTTGCCTAGTGATGAACCTACTACAAGAGGCTACTAATTACTTGTCCTTTTGTCATCAAAACAACCTTATTATCGTAGCTACAAAGAAAGGGGCTGTGTTTCTTGAATCAACAAGCAAAATTTATGCTTTATATATAGTCATAATTCATGCAATTGAATTGTCAAAACACAAATAATCATCTTGTTTTATTGTTAAACAAAGGTTTAAGCAAGATGAAGCATATGCTATTTGACAAGAAGATAGAAGAGCATAGACCACTTCCTAAGAGAGGGCAAGTTAAGACAAGGATAGTTGCCATCGCGTTGCAGTCGTTGGCAGCCATGATCACCATGGCTGCCACTCGACGTTCAAATTCCACCCCAAAATCCTAAGAAATACGTTGATGCATGGGAAGCGTGTAACAATGACAGGAGATTGATCAGTCAGAGTCGAGTGACCTCAAAGGTTTATAAAGAATTTTGTACAGTGTCGTTTTCGTTGGTTTATTGTATTTAGACATCTCTTGTTCCCTGTCTTGTAACAAATTTCCAGTGTCCAAAAAACAAAAACAAGAAAGTAGAAAATCTCATGTTACACATTGTCATAAAACCATCTTGAAGATTTGCTAAATTTGGCTTTATACCATGTGGATACCTTAAGTACAGAGCAAGCAGAGACATCAAAGCAACAAAAAAAAATAGGCAAGGAACAGGTCCTTTCCTTAATGTCAAGGCATTTTAAACCAAAGTTTTTATGCTTTTTTCCAATCATAGTTCCATAAATAGATAATGTATAGTTTCAATAGTGTTGCTATTATCAAATAAAATGGCATTATCAAGCCAATTTCTCCAGCATAATGTATGGTCCAACTCGGAGTTTAGACGTACCTTGAGTGTCCCTCCATTATTGAAAGCTAACCATGAACCAGTTAAGAAGCTATCACAACGAAAACTTAAAATACGAGGCATCAAGAACAAATCCAACAGTTTGGTCACATTTTCGATGTTAAATCCTGAGAGTGGCACGAGTATGAGTGCAGTTTCTCCATCCGACACAATCAAGAAGTTCTACTCAAGTATTAACAACAAGGACATGAATCAACTAGCACTGCTCCTAGCTGAAAATTGTTTCTATGATGATTTCTCTTACAGTCAACCATTCCAAAGGAGAGAGGTTACCTCTCTTCTTCTCTCGGAAACATGAATTGTACTTTTCTTTTGTACAACTTTTTGAGCTCAATAACAACTACTACGCCTCAATCCCAAGCTAGTTGAGATCAACTTAAGGATTATCATACAGTAAGGATTCTCTAATATACTGTAGTGTTTATATCTTCGATTTGTAAATTGATGCAGGAGGCTCTGAAATTTCTGGAGCAACTAGCCACATGCATGGGGAAGAACACAGAGTACTGCATTGAACACATTTATGAGGGAGTTGATCTCACAATTGTGGTAAACTGGCATTTAGGTAATGACGAGTAACTTATTCTATTACAATGAAGAGGTAAATATTGGAACATGACAAAAGTATATTTTCATGTAGAGTGGAACAAGAAACAGGTTCCTTTCACTAGAGGCTGCAGTTGCTACGAGTTATCAAGAGACGGAGAAGAACTAGTCATAAGGTAAATTCAAGGTTTTCTAAGCCCATGTATGTTACGTTTAGGCCTATTACTATGTCAGCACAAACATTAAGTGCTCCGGAAATGGAAATTTATGCAGGAAAGCTCAAGTAATTGTTGAATCACCAATCAAACCAGGAAGCATAGCTTTGGTATGAATACCATCAATCTTCTATTTCAGAAAAGTGCAAACTAAACAAGCTAACTTATCAACATATGTTATCTAGCTTTGGTATGAATACCACCAAACTTCTATCTCAGAAAAGCACAAACTAGACAGGCTAATTCACCAACATGATGTTCACTCTTTTCTCCTGATATTGGCAATTTGAAACTGCAATTCTTGATTCTTGTTTAGTTTCTATTTCATTAATGCACGTCGTGTTCCTATCTTCACAAAATACAGGAAGCGTTCCAGAAGGTCATTTCAGTATGTGATGCTTTCCCTCAGTCTGCTGAATGTATGTTGATTTCTTTATGTTCTTTATATTTTCGCCAACATGAGAACAAAATTATTCTCAACAGGGAAAAATTTTTCCTATGCAGGGTTGTTCCAGATGAGTCCTCAACTGATAACTTCCTATTCCCGCTACACATCATGGCTCAATTACATGTCAACCTTAAGTCCTTGGAGTGATTCAAAAGATAAGGATCAAACTCCAAAGAATGACTAGCTTTGTAATAAGTCCTAAGGCCTGTTTGGCCATATTTGTAATAAGACTAGTGCTACTGAAAATAGTAAAACTTGGGCATATCTGTTGAAATCTGCCTGAAAACAACTGTATGATTGAGCGTTGGGTTCGAGAAAAATTGGAACCACAACAGATATCTCTATTGTTGACTGTTGAATAAACTGTGTTGAATTTCGATCTAAAAAATTCAAGTGGTAAGCAATTCTTTATGGAAAGACTTATCTTTTATGGTTGTGAGTCTCTTTATTAGTGATTCTCAGTACCAAACCTACGAACAGGTGCATCTGTAGATCGATGCATGACATGTCCAAACCTACAAGTTAAAAAAAAATTGTTCTCACACCCGTCTATGTGAGCTTTGGAGAACGTGACCTGTCCAAATAAGCATGAATAGGAGGATTACAGTGCATTAACAATCATTAAAAATAAAATAGTCAAACCATATATAAGAATTCAAGACTTAAAATGAATCCAACTGGCAGTTCTTTCTCAGGAAAGGCAACTTGGAAAAAGTTTACTTTAATGGAAAACCAGACAAAGAGTATAATTAAAACTTCTGCATTGTTTTCTTTATAGGATAGAATCATCATGCCTACGTGGGTCGTAGAAAAAGAAAACACATAAAGCCAAACAAGCTCATATTGTAAATGATTAGTTGCCAAATTTTGTATGTTCAACTAATTGGCCATTGGTTGACAAATGAATTGCATGGATTTATTTAACTTCATAGTCAACTAATGATTTGAAAATAAACATTAAAATGAATATAGGAAAAATTTCTGGTCTAAGAAAAAATTAGCTGTCATATCCTCCCCATTGACTTACCTAGTGATGAACCTACTACAAGAGGTTGCTAATAACTTGTCCTTTTGTCATCAAAAGCTGCCGTAGCGACAACGAAAGGGGCACTGTTTCTTCAGTGAGCAAGCAATGTTAGTGGTTGATATAAATAGTCACAATTCATGCAATTGCATTGTTAAAACACTAATAATCATCTTGTTTAGTTGTTAAACGAAGCTTCCAGCAAGATGGCCCTAGAATAAATGATGCAGCAGCCACTCCTATGTTACTTGACAAGAAGATTAAGGGCATAGACCACTTGCTAAGAGAGGGAAAGTTATGACAAGGATAGCGGCCATGGCGTAGCAGTCGTTGGCGGCCATGATCAACATGGCCACTCGACGTTCAAATTCCTCCCCAAATCCTAGGCTTGAGGAGCTAAGAGTGGTTATCATCTAAAAAATATGTTGATGGATGGAAAGCGTGAAAAATCCTTTATGCACGAGATAACAATGATGGGAGATTGATCAGTTAGTGTCAATTTCGCTAATCTCTTGTATTTAGACATTTTTCCCTAATCCCTCCCCATCTTGCAAGAGATTGATAAGTCAGAGTCGAGTAACCTCAGGGTTCTTGGAGAGTTTTGTAGTGTCACTATCGTTGATTTCTTGTATCTAGACATTGTTTCCTCCCCCATGTAATGACAATTTTTTTTTAAGTGTCCAGAGCACCTAGAAAGCAAGGTCTTTATCAATCTAGTGCGATCATATTTCCACTTCTATTATCAATATCAGTATTAGCATGAGTGTCTACAACCTTTTCTAATTCCACTAGAGGAGCATAACCCATACTCTCCCAACATCAGTTTTATTAATGTTTGAGCCGCTTGCACACACCTCGACTAATTCCACCAGTACCTACGATCGAGAAACAACATAGGTATTGGGCAACTCTTCCCATAAAGGATTGGACATATGGAAAAAATTCGCCTAATGCCTTTTTTGTCTCCACTGGAATTTGAACCTAAGACCTCGTGGTTCCCCCCAACTTCATTGACCACGAAGCCCCACCCATGCATTCAATTTTTTTTGTTACTTTCTCATCTAAACTTTGACAAAAAACATGAAATACAAAAAACACATTAAATGGAATTGCTAAACGGCAAGAATGCTATAGCCCCACACCCACACCCAACCAACCAAAAAAGACTGAAAGAATAGGATAAGAAAATAATCAGAAAATGAAAACCAAGAAAGTAGAGAATCTCATGTCATCTGAAGATGACTAAATTTGGCTCTATACTAAGTTGGTACCTTAAGTACAGAGCAAGGCAGAGACATTAAAGCAACAATTTTAGGAAAAGAATAGGTCCTTTTCTCAATGCCAAAGCTTAGAACCAAAGTTTTTATGCCTTTTCCTTTCATGGGTCCATAAATAGATAACACATAGTTTCTATAGTGCTGCTATATACACTAAAATGGCATTTTCAGGCCAACTTCTCCAGCATAGTATATGGTCTAAACCGGAGTTTATGCATACCCTGAGCGTCCCTCCATTGAAAGCTAACCACGAATCAGTTATGAAAGTATCACAACGAAGACTTAAAATACGGGGCATCAAGAGCAAATATAACTGTTTGGTCACACTTTCGATGTTAAATCCTGAGAATGGCACGAGTATGAGTACATTTTCTCCATCCGACACAATCAAGAAGTTCTACTCTAGCATCAACAACAAAGATATGAACCAACTAGCACTGCTCATAGATAAAGATTGTTTCTTTGATGATTTCTCCTTTCCTAAACCATTCCGAGGGCGAAAGGTTACCTGTCTTTTTCTCACAGAGATATGAATTGTACTTTTCTTTTGTCCAACTTTCTGAACTCAATCCCAAGCTAATTGCAATCAACTGTATATTCATAAATACTCTGTTTCGATCCATAATATGTCTACACTATGTACTTAAGGATTATCAAACACTAAGGTTTCTTTAATATACTCTAGTGGTTATATCTCTGATTTGTAAATTGATGCAGGAGGCTTTGAAATTTCTGGGGCAACTAACCACATGCATGGGGAAGAACACAAAGTTCTACATTGAGAACATTTATGAGGGAGTTGATCTCACAACTGTGGTTAACTGGCATTTAGGTAACGATGAATAAATTGTTTCTTACATCTGATGAAAATGTAAATATTGGAACATGACAAAAGTATATTTTGGTTAATGCAGAGTGGAACAAGAAGCAGGTTCCTTTCACTAGAGGCTGCAGCTGCTACGAGTTATCAAGAGACGGAGATCAAGAACTAGTCATAAAGTAAACTTCAAAGTTTTCTAAAGCCATGTTAGCTTTAACCCTATTACTCTGTTATCACTAGCATTAAATTCCCTGGAAATGGAAATTCATGCAGGAAAGCTCAAGTAATCCTTGAATCGCCAATCAAACCAGGAAGCTTCGCTTTGGTACGAATATCAGTACCAAGACGTTCATTGTTTTTTCCTGATATTGGCAAGTCAACAACTGCAATTCTTGATTCTTGTTCAGTTTCTATTCAATTGATGCACGCGGTGTTCTTGTCTTGGAAAATGCAGGAAGTGTTCCAGAAGGTCATTTCAGTATGTGATGCTTTCCCTGAGGCTGCGGAATGTATGTTGATTTCTTATGTTCTTTATATTTACATCAAACAAGAGAACGGAAATAATCTCAATATGGTAAAAACAAATTCATATGCAGGGTTGTTTCTGATGAGTCACCTTCTGTTACCAAGTATCTACAATATAGCTCTCCAGCCGAGCATACTTCCAATTCTTGCCTGCTACCGCAAGTTATGGAGTATCATAGTTGCCTTTCTTACACTTATCTACACAATATTCATGTTCATTATAAAGAAATTCCACGAGTAGAACATGTACACAGTTTGACACTCATGACATCGGACAACATTCAAGACTTCACTTTTCCTACATACATATAGACGGTAGAAGACAAGACAAGACTTCACATTCATTACAAGCACAGTAAAACCTTAAAACTTTCTTACTTCTATTGGCAGAAGGCATAAGCCATTAACCATATCAGCTATCAATCATCGTTGCTATCTCGTGTTGACCATGATTCAAGCAATGAAAGAGCAACTAGAGGTCCAAGGAAAGGAGGGACCGGAGGCGGCCTGCTAAAAGCAACGAGAGGTTCAATGTTCTCCGCCTTCATCTGGGCTTCTCCAGCATCATCATTTGCTTGCTTCTTAGGGGTCATTGTTCCAACTGTATCAAAGTTTGCCATTATTCTAACTATTCATAGTCAAATAACTTTTTCATCAACTACAATCTTCTTGTACACTTGTTATAATAATTCTATCTCCATACAAATTTATATGACACTCTCCTGTTTCCGAACGAAATAATCTCTTATACTATTCCATTAATAATGTTATTTTACACAACATCAATAAAACTTCCAAGAATTCAAATTCATTTCAATGTTCACATGCTGAACTTTTTTGTTTCATTTTTCTTACAAACTAAAATTTTCTCCACTACCATCAATATGATACATCAAGTCAAATCAACATTAAACAAATTTGTATACAGAGAAACATCTACACACAAAAAATGAAGAAAGCATACATTTTTATCTTATTACCAACCTTTGAGATTAAACAATATACATAATTAGTCGAGTTGCGCGAAAACTTGCTCATATACCAAGGTTATTTTTAAAAAAACATAAAAGTAGTTTTGAAATTACCAATTCTACTTCCAGATGGAAATATGTTTTTGAATTTGCTTATCCCAGGAACTAAAGTTTTAGTTCGAATCATTTCACCAAAGTCCTGCAAAACATGGAAGAAATTTGAGAAAAATAAACATAAAATGTTGAACTAAGGAACAAACTAAGAAAACCCATGATTAAAAGATTGATGAAATTGAAGAAACATACCACAAAATCTTAAATTTTTTTGCTAAAAAATACTGATTTTTTTTTGTCTTAGAAAATTGTCAGCAGTTCCAAGCTGGTCGGAACAAAAGGAGCTGGAGAATGTTCTTGAAAGTTCAAATGGGCCTAGTGGGTTTTTGGGTACGGGCTGGGCCTTAATATGGGCCTCAGTGAAAGAGGATTATTTGGGCCTTTATTATTACTGACATTTGCAAATAGAGCCCATTTGAAGATTGTTGGGCTAGTCCGTTTCTTTACCTGGACCATTATACTAGTGTTTTCACGGGTCATTTACGCTTTTGTCCCTATTTTGTGTCGGTTTTTAACTTTTAGGGGAAAAAACTCATGTAGCCAAACCCAAAGTTCGTAGGATATAAGTTTGTATTTTTGTATCATAAGTTGTGCACGGGCATGTCTTCCGTTTATAAAGAACTTGTGTCATATTAGGCATAAATTCGATTTTTAAAAGGCAAAATTTCAACAAATATTATATCTGAAATAATAATTTAAACTTTTTAATGAATTCAAGTTAAAAATCTTAAAAACTGGATGATAAAAACTTAAATTCACCTCTACTATGATAAATACGAGAAAAATTAATTAAAGTGGAAAGTTTTTTTTATATCAACCTAAAAAGACTTGAAACCTAACATCTTAATTAGTAGATTACAACTCATAAAACACATAACTCAACAATTGGAACCCACTAAGCCTAAATGGGGTTTAATTGTCTATAACCCCATTGCAATTAGTCATTAAACCTACTGCCATCTGATAGTGAACTTGTACCTATTCATAACTATTTATCCATTGCAATTAGTCATTGAAATTTAGGATACCATATATTTAAAGTTATTTCAAAGTGGATAAACTTACAATTTTTTATTCATCGTGAGACGTATAACTTAAATGATGGTCCTAGATAGGGTATATATATGTGCACTTAAGTCCTTAAATCAGAGGAATTTAGAGTATCGTTTATGGATTCACATGAATTCAGTAATTTTTATCCGACTTTATTTATGAATATCTGATTGTAAATTATTGCATATTAATTTGAAATCGTTAATTACTTAAATCCTTTGCTAGACAATATTTAACAAATCAATGAGATAAATTTTTTTGGTCTAAACCATGGGGTACAGCCAGCTAATTATTTAGGTTATGCCATCCTCAATTAGTGTAAGATGTCTTTCGAGGGCCATATAGAACTAAACATCATTATATTTCTTGGAATCTTTATTTGCTTATTCTTTAAATAAATAAAAATAAAATAAATAATAAAAATTATTGTATTGAGAAGATCACTAAATATTTTCAATTCTAATTCCTCATTGAGTGATCATAAATATACTGTCCAAGGTATTTAAGAAAAAGACAATTAGCTAAATATCAATGACTTATTTAAAATGTCTTATTGACGATGATATTGTCTTAATCAATATGATTGACACAATGACAAGCTATATTTATACACAATCGATTGTATGGGTTGCTTTGTCGAAAAAATACAGTATATATTTAAGTTAAAATTTTAATTTTATGAAGATATATATTTGAAAGGACATCGTCTAAAATTGTCAACAATATCTGGAAATTACATATGTGTAAATAAGACTACAGTACAATGGGAGCCATGAACAAATAATTTGTTTTAAAATATTTTGCCCCTCAAACTTGTATCAAAATTCTTATTTTAGCGGGAATTTTTTTACACGCTATTTTTTTTTCTTTTAAAATATGTCAAATACACACCACTTTTGCTAGGTACACACGAAATAAACACATAAAACTCATATATTCAATTTTAATTAATTTAGAATCAAAATATACTTGATATATTATTAGGATATATACTACAAGAAATTGCCAATTTTCGATGAAATTCATTAAAAATTGACTCATGACATTTTTTATGTTACTTTGTTCGAAAATATTGTATGGATAAGCTAAATTTTGATAGGACATTGTGATTTTCTGATAGTGATATTACATCACAAATCAGTGGGCAAGCTAAACTAGAGGATGATGACTCAAATCAATATAATAGCTTTACCCTACAAGTACCCTTCCTACCGAACTCTCCCTTTTACTAAGTAATTGTTTTTTTTTTCTATTTGGTGTTCGAATATTCAGTATTTTTATTAAAATTTGATTAATTTGACTTCGCATTAGTAAGACCCTGTTGAGGATGAACACTCACTAATAATAATTTTTTTATATCCAAGGCTCAAATTCGAGATTTAATATTCAGTATCCATATTAAAACTTTGATTGATTTGAATTCGATCCTATTCAGAAATACTCACTAATAGTATTTTTTCTATTTCGAAGGCTCGAATTCGAAATCTTTATACCCCTGGTCTAAACAAAACTAGTTAGTTCTTTCGGTTTTACCTTTTTTTTTTTCATTTAATTTTCAAAACTAGTATGATTCACTCTTTGGGTCCATATTTGATATTTTTTGACAATCAAGTCTATAACTACTCACCTTTTTTATTTATTCAAAGTAAAAGAATATCTAATTATCTTGATTTAACACCATTAATGAACTTCTTTTTAAGCTCCAACACGTGTTGACTCATATCACCCATTAAAGTTGATTGACAATATATAGTTGAATCATAATTTACACTTTACATTAACATATTCCCAATATAGCTAGAATGATGTTAGTACGATACTATTAACCCTTTCTTGTATTTTTTTTGTTCATCAATTGTTGGTATCATATGTGATTTGATTGTCGTATACGTTCAATTTCGTTGTTATTACTATTTTCATTTTCGTACTTCATTTTTCAAAATACTTTGAAATATTTTATCTGAATTAAGATTTGTCAGAAACAATCTCTATTTTTATTAAATAGAGATGATGTATGCATAAAATATTTTATTCTTCTCATACCCTACTTATGAGGTTACATAAATTAAAGTTGTTGATTTCTGTTCATGATCATTTCATTGATCTATTTGGCCTAGCTAATTCAAGAATCTTTATTTTATAATTTTATATTTTTCCTGTCTCTAGTCAATGAAAGAACAAAATTATTATGATGTATGTAAACTGAATAGATCTAATATAAACCTATGTCCTAGAATGTACTACTCCTAAGTCCTAGGATATCTGTCAAGCAAAATTGATTGGTAACATTGACCAAAAAAAGTGAAAAAAATATGATTTAACATTCTTCTATCTTATATGTACAAATTTATATTTCACGATCAAAGTACTTGATATCCAACACTATATTTGCTTTTGCGTTACTCAGGGCGTCTTAATCCATAAGTCATTAAAGTCATTGCTTGAAGTTTCATATTTGTGTGGACCTCATTTTTAAGAAAGAGTACTTATACATATATTTTTAAAAATAAAATTATATGTACTTCTAAATTTCTTTAAAACAAAAGGGTAAGAAGTAATTATTCAAAGTGGTTAATTTCCACTTTCCTAAGAGAATGAAATGAATTGGGAATTTTTTCCTTATGTGGGAAAAGTAGTTTGTACTTCCTTATTTATTTCTTAATAATTTGATTATTTATCATATATTCATCTTTTTATTTTCTATTTTATTATTTTTGTTGTTAATATTGAATTCTCTCCTACAAAACTTATTGAGTTATTGTTGCTTACAAGTTACAAACGAACAAAATCAATTTTTTGGTGTTTTCTTCAAAATTTCAAGAAGTGTCACAAACATTATGTTGTAGCAACGCAACACTATTTTGGTATCTTTATATCAACTTATCAAATTCTTGAGCTAGATTTTATTATTCTAACTTTATTTTATAGTTTTTCTTGAAATTTTGTAATTGTTGATATTCTTAGTTCATAAGTATATATATTCTTGTTTTAGTTATTATTAAAATTTATTCAATTTAAATATTTTAACTAGAAAAAATGATTTCGATCTTACAAGAAAAGAGAAAAAGATTTTTTTTTTTTGAAGAATTAAATAAATCTCAAA